AGGTACTTTTAATAACAGAAACAAGTTGACTCCAGCAAATTATATATTTCTTTCTAGAAGAGCCAAAGACTCATGATGTTTGCCTTACTTTCTTCATCTTCAAATTTCAATTTTGAATTTCATTTTTAATTATTAAACATGTCTCTTGCCTATATCTCTCCCCCTTTCAAAATGGCTTTAGTCCATCTTCACTTAATATTTTTATCAYAAAAACATCTTTGAAAGGCTATACACTAAATTTAATTTATGAATTATGAATATATATTACTGGTGTGATCAAGATTCTRTAATTTAGCAGTTTTCCCTCCTTTTTTTTCCCCCTATTAACTTTTAAGTTTCTGTTAAAAAGAAAATCCTCTTGCCAGGTGCAATGGTGCACCTACCAGTTTGGGAAGCTGAGGCAGGAGGATCACAAGTAGGTGCTAAGCAATTCAGTGAGACCCAGTCTCTGAATAAAATACAAAATAGGGCTCAGTGGTCGAGTGCCCCAGAATTCAATTCCCACCACCCCACCCCACCCCCCMAAAAAAAGAAGAATAAAGAAAGGAAATCCTCTTGTGTATGTTTCAGAGCATGGTCCTAGAGCAGAGGTAAATCTTGGCAAATTTGAGAAAATATTCCTAGCTACATCTAGATCATAGATGAACATGACAACAGACAATAAATATTAGCCAGTAGATAATAATGGAATTTACATTTTCCTGTTGGAATTATCATTCTAGTTTGCATAGCTTGAAAATAATAATACATCACTAACACTGATGAAGCAGGTAACTGAGCCAGGCACTGGAAATGGAATACTTCCCAACCTTGGGATGAAGTCAAGAGTAATATCTCACCTATGGGAACTTTCTCAATTGAAAGTTGACTAATTTTAATTTTAAGTATTAATTCTTTGTACTGGCTGAATGTGCAAAGGGAATTATATAATGCAATATACTTCTTCAAGCTTGAATAATACCCCAAAACTTTGCTTATTTTAATATTAGATCAAATGAAAATTAACATTTTTTTAGAACTCAGAAAAATTTAATAACAGATATATTAAACCAATCCATACTTGGTATAGGTTAGATAGAGACAATGTGAAACATCTAATTAACTTTAATTAACTGACCTTTATACAATTTCCTCCAAAATGCTTCTCCAGTGTCAGGCTCTCTAGGGTCAACCATTGCTCATTCATAGGATGTCTAGGCACCTTTGTTTAAAAAAAAAAAAAAAAGTCATTTTTTCCCCTGCTCTGAAAGTGCATTTCCCCCCCCCCCCCAAAGTCCTCCTCTTTCCCTTACTCTGGACTCTCTTCCCAAATTCATTATGTTGGAAGCATGATCTCCAATGTAGCAAGGATTAATCCAACAAGTGGATTAATCCATTGACAGATGAATGGACTACTGGGAGGTAGGACCTACTTGGAGTCACTTAGGGCATGACATTGGGCTTTATCTGTCCTTGACTGCTTTCTCTGTCTGTGGCCTGGCTGCCAGAAGCTAAGCAGCCTTCCTTCACCATGACCTTCCACCATATACTGAATCCTCCAAAACCATAAGCTTTGGCTTATGACAAGATATATGAGTTGCTCTTCTCATATATATTGTGCATAATGATGCGAAGAAAACTACACACTCTCTGAAGCACTGACACCTGAATCCAAAGAGTTAACTAGTGCTGAATCAAAAGAACAGACACCCTTAGTAACCAAGAGTTAGCTCTCCTTTTCTGTCTACTCACATTCTCACTCCACCTGAAGGGGCTTCAGCTACTGCCCTCTATAGGACACTTAGGATATATTCCAATTTAATTACTTTCATGCACTATTTACCATGGTGCTCCCTAAAGTCTAAATTTAGCATTATTTTTCTCACAAGCATTTATCAGGCCTCTGTCATTTTTTTAATTTTTATTTTTTAAAGCCTTAGATTTCAATACTCAAGAGTTATGATTTTAAATTCTTTGGCAGTTTCTTAAGGAAATGACTAGAAGTGGAAGAGCCATGGGCACAAATGGCTGCCCAAGTTTTCCTTCTTCATCTGTAGAACAAATAGTGATTTCCACTTCAGGAGGCTGTCAAGGTAAAAGTGCAATAACCTGATTTTAAGTGTGCTGYGCAGTACCTAGAATTCAGCAAATACTCGTTCAATTTCTTGCACTATCAGCAAATAAATACAAATTCGGATTATTTGAAGGACCTGTGTTGTTTTCCTCACTAAATGTTGCTATCACACATTAAGTTTCCAATCTGATTCTAGKTTTTTGAAAAGTTGTAAGATTTTAATGGATTATTGAAGGAGAATTAATGTTGTCCCTATCACCATTAGGTGTCCTAGTAAACAAAAGAACCACTGTCAAGAAACCAGAATGAGTCTACAGTCTGCCATTCTAGTCAAATGGAACCTTTAATAAAAAAGCATTACTGTAGTAATTATTACAATATAAAAGTTAATGTGTTTGAATGGACAAGAAGTGCAAAAAATAATTAAAATGGAGTATTCATGGCACTCCTAAGTCAGGGAATATGCTGGCATCTTCTGAAGGACATCTTGGGGGACTCCTCCCCTGGAATGATGGCCTGGCTCTAGGACTGTGGTGTGGAAAAATGGRAAGTGTCACCCACAAGTTGATGAGTGTGGGATGTGGGTAGCAGTGAGGTAGGGGATGACAATGGAATCTGCTGCAGATTATGTGTTAGAAATTGATGTAAGAAAGATAAAGACAGAATGATCAGGAAGTGAAAGAGCATTCAAAAAGCATTGCCCAGTAGCCTAAAGACTTCATACGCAATATTACGGATTCTAAGCCAGGAGGAGAAAATCACAGCAGAGGTCGAGTCTAGCAGTGGGTACCAGGACTTGGATCTGGGAGACCACCAGAAGGCCAGGACAGCAACCCAGGTGTGTGTAGGTGAGGTTAATTCCAGAGTGGCAAAATTTAAAGTGAAAATGTGAAAGAGTATAAAATCGTTCAGATCTAGCCTAAGATTCTTTGGTAATATTCGAAAGGTAGAGATTATACTAAAAGATGGTAAAAAGTCTTTCATTTTGACTTCTCAGCAAGGTTCCAAAAAAAAAAAAACAATTTCAGTTTTTATTTGGTTGTCTTTAATAAAAGATAAGCAGTAAATGTCCTTGTTTCCTAGAAAAATATCCCTTCCTTTTAAAAAAAAAATAAATCACATGGCATGGAAAAATTCGATATCAATTAGGATACTTCCACTCTAAAGATAAACCTTATGGTTTAAAATAATTTAGTTTGAAATATTATTTTATTTTCATTTTGAAATGATCAGTGTGAAGAAGGATGATATGTGTGGCATTATGTGGAAAATAGTATATTCAATAGTTAAAGTATTTTATTACTTCTATCAAGAATTTTATGGTTACGAAGGGAAATAAGTATCCATGTTATTTGGTTATGGTTTTATGTACATTACAGTGAATTTATATTAATGAAAATAAAAGAACTGTTATCAGTTTGTATAGGGGTAGGGGCAGTTTGTAAAATTTTTTCTTAGATCATGAGGAACGTGAAATGCATGTGATTATGGTTTGTAATATGTACCTGTTRATTGCTTTCCAAAGCATATCCTATGTAATTGGGGTCAGAATACAGCATCAGTCATTTATGGAATTGAAAAATTGCTTTTTCTTTGATGCTTTTACCTGCTAATCCTATAGAATTTTTCTTCAAAAAGAACAATTAAGGACTGCAAGGGAAATAATCTTTCTTAGAGAATATTTTTGTTTTTATTATTTTATTTTGTCTTGAATATRTCCAATTCTTCATTCATAAAAACAGTTTAACTTTTGTTATTTGTTGAGACATCAGTGGATTGACATTCCATTTTAAAAATCATTGATTTTCTTCAATCTTAAGTCATTACACTTGAGATTTAGATAATTAAGATCCTGAAATCTTTTTGATCCTTCTATTCTTAAGGCATACTTTTTTTTTAGTTTTAAAATTTACTTTGAGGACATTTTTATTTTCATGTTTGGGGAAATTTTATAAAATTGCTGCTTAACTGAACTATTACAAGTACAAGGAAGGATAGAAATTGCTAATTATTCACCTTTCAATAACCATGAAGTCTTGTACTTCTAGAGCACAGAGCACATTCAACATCAATAAAGAAAAAGAAACATAGCAGTATTATTTCTTTCTTTAAACATTTGTTCAAAAATTATGCATTAAGATGATCTGCAAGGAAATATACAGAATATCTAAGATAACTAAGGAAATTTGTCTTTATGGGCTCTATCAGTGAATGTCAGGCATAGTTGTGAAACTGGTAGTAGAGCCAAGATAACTTACATGAAGTTGGAAAACATGGGGTTTGTTCTACTTTCTGTGACAATGAGATTAGGAGTGGGAGGCAACTTCCTTGAAATGCATCAGGGTGAACAGCAGGTGTAGCTGAAGGTGGGTACCCAGGGGACTGTGGAGAGGAGGGGCAGGCTTTAAAATGAGAGATGCCCAGCCACAACCCCAAACTACTGTGAAACAGTCATCTCTTGGTATCTGTAGGGGATTCATCCCAGGACCGCAACAGATGAAAATTCCAGGGATACTCAAGTCCCAGGCATAAAATAGCGTAGAAACTTCATATAACCTATGCGCCTCCTCCCACATATTTTAAATCGTCTAGATTTCTTATAATACCTCATACAATGTACATGTCCDGTTAGTAGTTTATCATCTTCTATAGGGAACAATGACAAGAAAAAAGTTTGCATGTGTTCCGTACATCAGCAAAGATATAATTTTTTTTTTTTTTTGGAATACTTTCAACCTGCACTTGAGGTTGGTTGAATCTGGGATGCAGAACCTACAGATGTGGAGGGCCCAACTGCATTCTATGAAATTAAAATGCCGCTAATCATGTAAAACTAAAACTTGTGTTTCATGCTACTGCATTTTATCATCTAAACTAACATAGATTTAAGTGTCAGTTGTCTTTGTATTTGTTGTGTAGTTAGACATATATTTGCTATCTTTTACAGTGAAGTTTAGCAACTGCAATGGAAAAAGAAAGGTACAGTACGAAAGCAGCGAGCCTGCAGATTTCAAGGTGGATGAAGATATGGCATGGTCTATGCCGTGAGAAGCTTTCCACTCTCTTCTGAGCACGCTAAATTCCTGATATATGCCCAAGACAAGGAGACCCAAGAGAAGTGGCAAGTGGCAGTCAAACTGAGTCTCAAGCCAACCTTAACCCAGGAGTTGGCAAAGGTATAATATTGGAGCTGATGTCTACAAAACAAAAATTAATACAGTAAAAAAAAAAAGTGTGTGTGTGCGTACACATTTTGCTTCATATCACATGAAATATCTATCTGGCCAATATTTGAATTTTTTTTTATCAACTGCAGTTACTTTACCAGTATTTTTAATCTTTTAAAATACTTAGACAAGTATATTTTAAGTGACCAGAAATTATATTTGAAAGATTTGTTTATACTTTGAGATTATAATTTAATTAAAATTAGAAGTAGTTTGTTTTGCATCTTAGAAGCTTTATAAGCTGTTAAGTATAACCACAAAATAAACAATTCTTTGCACGTCATCATCAGTCAAATTTATTAGATGGGAAATACAGATTTACAGTAGTAACAGAAAAGCATTTCTGGCAATGAGTGTTAGGATATGTTTTGTCCCTTAATAATCAAATTGGGAGTGTGAATTATTTATACTACTGATATGACTTTTAGGAATGATATACTCCCTCTGGTGGAAGCTGCTGTGAGCCCACATAAAATAAACGAGGTACATTTCCAAGAGAGTCCTGTTCAATTCAGTTCAGAAAYATTTATTGAGCACTTACTTTGTATAAGTCACTATATTAAGTACTTTGAACAAGATACAATAAATTCTTTAGTGAAGTTATGATAATATTATTTTCAGACTATTCTAGTTCTTTGATTTAATTCAAAACAGTTACTGAGGGAGCACACCCATATATTCTAAAGTTCATGGTTTGATGAAMTGTGACTATTACATTTTGCACATTTATTGTACTGTGAGAGACAAGAATACACACAATCAGTTCTGGTATTTAATCGTAAATGTGATATACACAACCATAATCAAATGAGAATGAATATATGTAAGAAAAATGTCATTTTTTTTCTTGTGCTATTTGTTGAGATTTCATTATGTGAAATTTTAATTAATCAATTAACTATTAAAGGGAATCATGTCATTTGCGTAATATAAAATAAGAACATGGTGACTAAAGGAGTAAAAAGATACTTTTATTGTTTTTTATGCTCTGTGTCCTAACAAACTAACTTGGGTATTTGCACTGAAGCAGGAAGGGCTAATGGCTAAAATRTCTACAGATATTGGGAGAAACAGAAGAAAATGTTGACATCTAGCAGAGATTAATACCTAGTGTGCAAAGTGGGTCATTTGCAGCATCCATCATGGCTGACAWAGGTTTAGAATAATTACAGCATTAATTCTGTGGGATTTAATAGGGTCATAAATGTTTGAGACATTCCTAAGTAGTATGTATTAAACTTCCCTTGGAATTCAAATTATATTTTAGCACATCAAGATCTAAATTTAATGTACAGTAGCACATTACCTGAACTGTGGTTTAAACTAATGAGAAATATACAAAAGGGTACTATTAAATTTTGCTCAGTACTAAGCTACTATCTAAGATGGTTTATAGAAACTGCAAATAGTTTACACACCTGAGCCCAATAATAAATTGTTCAGAATTCAACATTGAAACATGAACAGTGCAATTCAGAATTTTTATGCTGTTTGTTTTCTATTATTTTAATAAGGGGACAAGAAAAGGGCCTCCAGAGTTATTTTCTGTTCATAATAAACTGTGGTTCCTACACTTTCAGGTACCCATTAATATTGATGTTCTTTCAGAAAATGTTTTTCCTAGTACTCAGGAATATCTTGTTATATTTTAATGCAAAGGAGTCCCATGAAATTGAAGAGATAGTATTYCCAAGACAATCCACCAAACACAGTGGATACCTACAAAGGCAGAAGAGAGACTGGGTCATCCCTCCCATCAACTTGCCAGAAAATTCCAGAGGACCTTTTCCTCAAGAGCTCGTCAGGGTAAGATGGTGCAATTTTAATTATTCCCATGGCATGTGGTAATTATCTGTTAGAAAATTTTTTGTGGTTTTTTGCAAAGTAAAGTTTATGACATGTATATGGAAAACATTTTTTTTCTGTAGATAGGTTTTCTATAACACTGTAGAAACCYATTATTGTTTTCCTTGGTTATCTCTTGCACTGTTTGTAGGCAGCCCCCAATGTGGTCCTGGATGCTATGGATGTAATGCTTGTTCCGTATGTGAATACTAAGGCTACGTGCATCCCCACCCACTCCTCACCCACTCTCAGTACAGACCCTGGAGCTGCCTTGCTGGGAGCTGGGCTCTCTGTGGAGATCTCTGCCCTCCACAGACAGCTTTGGGGCCAAAGAAGAAAAATAAAGGGCAATCACTGCTAAAAAATGCCAGCACCAAGTGCATTTGAAAGTTTTTTAAAAGGAAAAAATGACCTCTGATACCATTATCAGAATCCCTGGGGCAGTGTAAAACCAAAGGCTTTCAAATCTGAAGTTAGTTTTTTGTTTTGTTTTTTTTTTTTTTTGGTTACTCCAGATGCATACCTTCAGATGAAGAAATTAAAAATACAGATTTTTTTTTGCATGTTTAGCAAAATTATCAGCCCATTATTCATGACAAAAGGACAATAAGACAAAATCATTATATTTCTATTTGTTAAAATGTAAACGTTCTTATGGATGATTATTTGAGCATGCGGACTCATATTTATTGAGAGATGTGGGTTTTTTAATAAACCACTTATTTGTGTTGTATATTCTGTCCTTTGTACATTGTAATTCAATTTACCAATGAGCGTAGCCCCCAAACCAAGGTGCTATTTTTCTATTTCAGTGGAATATGAGAAAATAGAGAATGATGCTTTAACTTTTAATAAAAACACAATCAGATTTTACTAATCAATTTAGTTTATTTATCCAACACATAAAGATCTATTATTATTACCTCTAAATGGTATTGCCCAGTCAGCCCTTTTTATGCCTGCCTGCCTTCTTCTCTGTCTAGAGATTCTCTTCAACCTCCAATGGCTACTCATACATTGATTTAATTTTCCCAGGAACCATTGTATTTGGAGAAGAAGTAAATGTGCTTATAGTGGCTGTATAGTTTGGGAGTATAAAAATATCTCTTGAGATCTTTTCTCATATGCTCCTTATTAATAAAGAATTGTAGTATTAGTTGCCTTTTTAAAATGATATGAAAAGCTTTCTTGCAATGAAGAGTCTTTGTACAAGGCAAGTACCAAAATATGATGTCTAGGCTCCACCATGTTGGAGTTCTGTGTAAGCATATTTCACACTATGGGTAGATAATTATTCCTTACTGTAACTGATTTAAAAAAAAAAAAAGGTGAACAGCGTTTATTTCAATTAACTTGGACACCTGTTACTGGGTTAAACAGTCTAACCCAGAGTTTCTGTCTAAAAACTGAYGCTCCTAAATTTTGACTTTTTGCACTACTCCTAGTGAGCGTTCTTTTAAAGGTGAACATTGCCCCCAGTCTTTCTGGGGATAGGTGACATCTCTTTTTGAAGGCTGTTACCAAGAAGCAGAGAGGAAGGGGCAGGCACTGGGGAAGTTTCAGTGGCGTTCTGGAAAGAGATGGAGCAAGTTGGTAACAGAACAAGGGTAGGAAGTGTGGYATGTGCTATCTCTGATAATGAGCTCAGTTAGTCTCTCATTTAATGTCATTGTTTTCTTGGTCCTCAGATCAGGTCTGATAGGGATAAAAACCTTTCACTGCGGTACAGTGTCACTGGGCCCGGAGCTGACCAACCTCCGACTGGCATCTTCATTATCAACCCCATCTCAGGTCAGCTGTCAGTGACAAAGCCACTGGATTGTGAGCTGGTAGCCCAGTTTCATGTAAAATTGCAACCAGCTTATAAATCTATGAGTTCGTACTCTTCTAAATGTGTGTGGAATTTGTCGTTGCCTCATATGAGTCTGAAAACCTGGATACTGAGAGTTTCAACACCAGAAATGAAATTTGTAGTTTTTGTTTTATTTTGATGATTCTAATGTCTTTATAAAATTTATTAGTGCTCTTGGTAAAAAACAAAACAATGCCAAAAAAAAAAAAGGAAAATTGCTCCAAATCTCATTACTCTTTACATTTTATTACTTGCCTTCAGTTATATGATTAAGAAAACCTAAAAGAGCAAATTATGAATGGGGTCAAACCCATTGAACATAAAATACAGAGAGATCAAACAATTGTTCACAGATATATGGAAGTATAATCAAAGTGAATCCCATCTTCTTATATTCTGTTAAATGTTCTTCTGGATGTTTTTTTCTCTTTTTATTACTCAGAACMTTTTATCAATGAAAGATGTTAATRCATGGTTTATTCTACATGTTCTTTTTTGTTTGTTTGCTTGCTTCTGAACCCTTTATATTTATGCCATAATGTAACATAGCTTTTAATATTGTAAAATTGATTTTTGAAAACATTTTATCATACCTTCTGGTTTCCAGAGGTATTGATAAAGGCCTTCCATCCTCCAAGATGCTTATCTCCCAATTTTTATCTGTTRGATTAACTTTTTACATTTAAAATTTTAACCTTGTGGATTTATTTGAATAAAAGGAGAGAGGGCCACAAGCCCACTTTTCTTTTCCTTTGTGGCTAGCCTGTTTTCCCAATACCAGATATTGAATTAATTCCCACAGTGGTTTAAAACCTTCCTCCCACATAGGCATGTGCTTACAAAGTTTTTGTTTTGTTCACTTATACAATTGTTGAACTCTTGGACTTGCTCAAAGCTTTAAAATTATAGRAATTTCTAAACTACAGTAGATCTAAATAGACAAATAAGCATATGAAAAATTAAAAATGTTTTAGGGTCAATATTACTCTGTATTTTCTCTTCTCAAGACTTTGATTATTTTATCAGCCCATTCTTTTAAAACTCTTGAAGGAACAGTTTATTCTAATGTTGTTTATATTGTCCTAAAATGCAGAGAAAGAAATACAACTTCGAACTTTTCACAAGGACTGCATAGCATTCCTAGGGAATGTGGATTAAGATACCACATAATAGAGCTGGGCACTGTGGAGCATGCCTGTAATCCCAGGGGCTCAGGAGGATGAAGCAGGAGGATCCCAAGGTCAAAGCTAGCATCAGCAACTTAGACAGTTTCTGGCTCACTCTTTTASATATTGATTTAAATCATTTAAAATGGATTAGCACAATGTCCAACATAAGGTGAAGGATGGTTTTTTGCTGCTGTACCTACTGTAATTATATGGAGTCAGGTTGACTACAATTTGTTTTTTAAGAGAGAGAGAATTTTTTAATATTTATTTTTTAGTTTTCCGTGGACACAACATCTTTATTTTATTTTTTTATGTGATGCTGAGGATCAGACCCAGCGCCCCGCACATGCCAGGCAAGTGTGCCACCGCTTGAGCCATATCCCCAGCCCCTGACTACAATTTTTTTAAGAAAGAATAGCTTCTATTTTTCCATTAGCTGTTTTCCAATAGCTTCTGTCAGTCCATTCTTGCTATGTTAGTAGCATTGTGATTGTGTCATATGTGTTCTCATGGACAAATATGTTAAGTACATYTGTTTTCAATTACTTTTGCAGTTGAGGGCACATGCAGTAGATATTAATGGCAATCAAGTGGAGAACCCCATTGAMATTGTCATCAATGTTATTGACATGAATGATAACAGACCTGAGTTCTTGCACCAGGTGTGGAATGGGACCGTTCCTGAGGGATCAAAGCCTGGTAAGTTTGAAGAAAAAAATTTGAAGATGGTTTCAGGAAATGCTATATAACCAGCACCATCATATAAGCAAGAAAAGGAGAAATCACAGGAGCCTTTTAGTGTCATTTTCTTTCATTCATATGCTTTTAGGTAACACAGGAAAAAACTGTAGGATGAAAATGGAAAAAAATATGCCTCTTACTGCCCACATGACAATTTTTTTCTCTTTGGAAACAATATATACTACAGTATTAGATTCTGCTACTATATAGAATTTCTGGGAGCCTTTCATTGTGCTACAGTTGATGCAGTTAGAGCAACTTGAAAGTGAGCCCTGGAAGAGACTTTCTGCTTGTAAAGTGCAAATTCTACCCTAGGAAACARTCACCAACATACCCAACCAGAAAGCCTCAGAACTGCTTGGTATGTTCTTGGGACCAGGTGGTGAAGTAACATCCCAAGCAGGGCAGGGACATAGTGACAGCTGTGACTACCCTCTAGCTACACTAGCTATTTATTTCCAGGGTGCCCTCATGTCCTCTGCAGACCTCTTTTCAACTAGCATAATAGAAAATGGCCTGGCCTAGAAACAGCCCTTGCTGGAAGCCCTTTCACCATTGGAAATTGGTATTTGATGAAGCTTTTAGATTCTTGTACTGAAAACACTGAAGACTCAGTTACAGCAGAATAGCCAGGCCAGAAAGACCTATTCAGTCTGAAAAATGAGTGGACAAGATGGTCACCTGGTATTATGAAGGTTAAGGGTTGGGCCAGCCTTCCTGAGCCGTTTGGGTGTTTGAAGCGATTTAAATGGCTATATTTGTTATTTTGTAAAACTTCATTTAAAACTCTGTTTCATAATACGTTGGTCATCCATACAAGTTTATAGCATTTTTTCATAGTCCAAATGCAATTCTCTGTGTCCTCAGAAAAGAAATGGGAGCAGGGGGGCACCTGGGGAAAGAAAGGGGCTGGACAGGAGAACCCATAACCTGTGGCTCCTTCTAAGTCACATAGTCTGAGTAACTTTCTTTGGTGTTTTCAAATACAGAATAATTGAAGCATGTTAAACACATCCTTACTCAAACACGTCTTATATACATAAAATAGATAAAACTTGGGCTTTTTTGGGCTGCAGAAATTTTGTTCTTAAAAATCATTTATTTTCTTTTTTTCCTTGTAATACTTCAAACTTGATAAAATATACTGCTTCACCTAGATTACTAAAAATAAGYCATTGGAACTGCATTTATTATGCATTTGACCATGAATTTCCACTTAAGCCTTCCATAAATAAAGACTAGGTAGTCACTGCAAGCAAAGACATTTCATGAGTGTGTTTCCTGTGGTTTCTCTGCCGTTTGAAAACATCCTACTAGGCCAGGTTTGATACTRTGATGACTCTTGAGTCAAACTGTGTTTTTAATCAGTATTTGGGCTCAAGGTTATGAAACATACTGTTGTAAATTTTCTTAATCGTTCCTTCGCTCATTCATTCAACACATGTTTTTAAAGTAAGTGCCACRTGCCAGGCCCTGTTCTGGCTCTGTGGATACAGTGGTGATAAGCAAGTTCCTTCCCTGTAGGAGCTTAAAGCCCAATAAGGGAGCAAAATATAGAGAAGGCAACAGGCAAAAGTGCTATTAAGTTTTGAGGGGAAAAAATTAAGTTTAAAGAGATGGTACATAATCAAAAGGGTATCTTGTTTAGAGAGACAAGCTCAGAAAAAAGATTGAAATACTGGGACTAAGGCATGGTTAATTCTGGGTGAATGTATACCAGATAGGAGAATAAGGGTAGAATTTTCTCTATTTCTAAAGTAGAACCAAGCTTAGAAGAAGACAGGTTAGAGAGAAAGAGAAATCTCATGATTCAGTTCTTTCAAAGATCCCACAGAATAAKCCATTCTAAAAATTAAGTACTTTTCCCTTGACTTCTAAATTATAATTTGTGTAGCTAGTTTGATCCTAATGCTTTATAGATGTATGTTTCAAAATATCCAATATATCAAAGTCCTCAAGTTGGTTACAGTGTTCTTTTAATCTACAAAGGAATAGTGAACCACAAGGCCAGATTTCTATTCAATGTACCAAAACAGTAATGCATGAGATGACTCCTTATGAAGTGAGTAAATGGAGTGTGCCTCATTATGCATACAGCTTACTTTCAGAAAGTGACGTAGGCATTGGGGGGAATCATACTCAGTGTGCCATTTGAAATGTTATTGCATAACAAGAAAATGCAACAGAGGGAAGGAATCAGCAGTCATAAAATAAATTTCTGATGGTTTATGGTTTATGTTTTATATCAATTAAGGCCTTCCAATAAATCATTTCAGAATCATAGGGTAAATTTATCTTCTAAGTTATGGAAAAATTGAGTCTTTATTAATATGTGTATTTTTATACTTTTTTTCCATCTACTAGAACATGTAGTTGTTTTAACCAACTAAATTATTAAAAATGATTATTTGAAAAAGAAAAGATCAGATATATCAGCCTGATAAACTTATYCTTCTTTTCTGGGACCAAAATGAAGGATAACTCTTCATTTTTCTTGTCCACTGTCTCTAGGAACGTATGTGATGACCGTAACTGCTATTGATGCTGATGATCCAAATGCTCTAAATGGGATGTTGAGGTACAGAATTCTGTCCCAGGCTCCCAGCACCCCTTCACCCAACATGTTCACAATCAACAATGAGACTGGCGATATCATCACTGTGGCAGCTGGACTTGATCGAGAAGTAAGCCAAACAAAATTTGATTTGTTTTTAAAGATGAACAGTGTCACATATAGTTTATCTCCAGGTAATAATATATTCACGGGCTAATTTTCATTAATAGATTTGCTGTGCAGATTTATAACTGAACTTCATATTGGTTAAATGATATGATAAATCATTGCCAGCCTGCACAMTGTCTAATGTGATAATTAAGTTATGCCAATACTCTCTACTACCAAATTTTTAAAATTCTTGGGCATTTTATCAGGTTTTTTGTTTTTGGTCTTGGTTTTTTTTTTTGGGGGGGGGAAGGGAGGTACTAGGGATTGAACCCAGGGGTGATTAACCCTTAGCCACATCTCTAGCCCTTTTTATTTTGTATTTTGAGACAGGGTGTCTTCTTAAGTTACCTAGGCCTTCACTAAGTTTCTGACGCTGCCTCAGCCTCCCAAACTGCTGGGATTACAAGAACGGCACTTGTGCCATCTCTCTGGGCTCTTCAGTTGTATTGTCAAAGGCTTTTGTGGGAAACTAAATTAAATATCATTGCCAAATAATGTATGCATAAATTTAAAATAATTTTTAACATTGATATTTTTAAGAGGCCACAAATATCATGTATGTGATTAGATTTTTGGTATCCCTACGGATAGCCTTATTTAGTACAAATTGATTCTGTCTTTTATTGGCACTTGCCCCTTAACCCTAAGGTTAATTTATTCACCAGATTTGAGTGCTAGTAACTGCATTAATTCTACTAACATTTAAAGACATAAGTTCAGAGAAGCATACATCTGACATATTTTGTTGAAAAGACATACACTGATGAAGGCATTGAAATACCATCATGTATCACAATCTGAGGGCAAATAGTGATTGGGTGGGTTTCCACGTGAGCTGTCTCAGGGTGGCAGCCTGAGCCTACTGTGTTCTTATGCACCTCTGTGTTTTTCTTCGTGTAATTTCTTCTGCCAGGAAGTTTTTCCTTTTCCCCTGTCTTGAACCTTCCAATTCCCCACATTCTGATTCCAGTTCTGCTTGTACACTTTCCTAAAAAGTCTAGCTCTAATGAAACTTTTATGTCCTTTCTCTCTTCTGTCCTGACCATTTTCTTACTGATTCTCAAGGTCATTATTTCCACCATCCATAATCATCGTGTGAGTGAATTATCAAAGTACCAACTCATAGAGATTCGTGCTTCCTACATTTCTGGCTGAGCCAGCTTTTACTGTAATGAGACATCTGATTATATATGTCAAAAGGAAACATTATACCCACCACAATAAATATTATTGACAGGGATTTTAGAAGTTGGGTTTTTTTTTTTTTTTGATGCTTTATTTGCTATAGGAGCATTCACTTGAATTGGATCGAAGAAAACACTGCTATTGCAATTAATTATATACACAAGATAGTGCTAGAAGCACTATAATAAAGTAATATGAGCCAATCAAGATTACTTTATTCACAACTCAGCTAGCTGCAAGCTTTACTTAGGAGTTAGGGATATGCCTGTGACATTGTACCTTATTAATTTCTGGCTGCCAGTGGACCCTTTTTCTAGGAATGTTTTGCATCAGAGAAGATTGAAATGAATTTGGATTTGCAGTAGTACTTTGAGTTCAGTGATATTCGGAACATGTATGTCTTTTCACCTCTTCCATTACTGTATGAAATACTATTCTTATATGCCAATAAACTCAGCATGGGTGCCATATTTTATATGAGATTACGGGGTATTTTTCAATATTCTCTCTTGAATGCCAGGTTGCTCACATAGCAAGTCGATTTAGCTCTGTTCACAATCCTAATATTTCTCTTTCATTCACACTGTCATTATAAGATTCAGAAATGGGGCGTCATCGTGTTTTCATCTGTAATATTCCTATCACACTTAGCCTGGCTGTTTTATGGTAAGAGAGAGGCATGGAGAACTAAAGATAGTTTTCTACAGTAGAGCAGCCATGTTTAAAAATCAAAGAGACTGTATTTAGTTTAGAGGTTGGAAGCTGGAAGTTAGGCCATAATCTTGGGTAAGTCCATCTTCCAGTGGCCAGAGAGAGGCCGTTCACTGTCCTTTGGAGACACTAATGCAGAAATGAATTTCAGACTACAGAATCGAGGATTAGATACAATATGCAGAATCGTCTCTTGACAGTGAAATTATTAAACACAACAGTGAGTTACTAGAGAAAATTATAGAAAACCTTCCTTTTCGAAAACTCACTCTTAACATAGAGAAAGCATCTATCTTGGATGGTTTATGGTAATTTCTGCCTGAGGCCGGGGATAAATTACTTTGACTTTTTGAGGCCTCGCACAGGCTTGAAATTCTTTTATTTCTATTAGAATTCACAGTTTCCTTTTTGTCGAAAATCATTTTAGTTGTCATTCTCCCGGGGTATATGACACCTTTAAGGGATGGAAGGCCCTAATCATTGAAATGCTTACTGAGATTCAGCCTTTGATTTTTCTTTAATCTGTTGAGTTTAAAAAAGAAAGAAAGAAAGAAATCATCTGTTCCTTAGCGTCTCCAAACCTAAAGCTGCACCACCACATTATCTTCAGCTTTTTATCTCCATCGGACAGATTACTAGTGGTGGCTTTTCCTGGCATTTTCTTCCTTTCCCCAGCCTTGTGTCTTTATTCCTTGTCGCCCGCCCTTTTTGCACAGACGGCCCATGACTGACTGCTTCACCACGATTGAATTCTGGCTCAGCCTGTTCCAGCCTGTTTGACCTTCATTAGCCTCTAACCTCAGCTTCCGCATCTGTAAATGGAGATCACAACACGAGGTGTATCATGGGGTGGCTCTGAAGATTGTGCAACATGATGCAGGAAGCATTCAGCAGTGCCCAGTAAATCTTAGTGACATCTTCCCCATTGCCATCCATGAGGACGGAATGTCTCTCATGGCAAAGAAGGAACGATACTTCCTGTTTTCCAAGCCTATTCATTTTTTAACTGTGCCCTCAACTCCTTGTTCTGCCCTAAGGCACTGTTTTCTGTGGTATATCCAGTCCTCCTCCCTTCCCTACAGGTTCCTCTATAATGGACAACTATCCTAAATCTCCATATTACAGTGGGTCTCCACACCCTGTGAAATCAAATTGGACCTCTTTAGTGTGGTATCTTAAGCCCTCTAGAGCCCTAGCCTCTGTGCCTTCTTCAGCCGCGCCCCCCCCCCAAGATTCTTTGCCTCTTGCTTTTGAACAAATGATGCCCCACCACCCCTACAACCACATGCTTGGGCACAGTGAAGTTTTATATTCTATTGCTGTTTCTTCTGCCTCAGGTTTTCTTTCCCATTTCCATGTGCCAAGCTGATCCTCGTCCTTGGAGAGCCAATCTTCAACTCCTTCTCTGGGCACCCACAGTGTTTCTGCCTACTCTCTGATGCAGAGACTATATCATATAGAAAGTATATCTGCATTCTTGTTCTTAGTATTCAGCAGAGCAGGTGTTCTTCTTCCTTTTACCATGAACAGGAACCCTGAAGAAATCTTGAAGTTATGAGACATCCTTCAGTTCAATACCAGACTTCTCAAAAGGGCAGCACCTACTCACTGTTCGACTCCTACATCCTTCCTCATCTGCTTTGAATCTGGCCTTCTGCCTTCTTCCCCTACTCAAGATGTGCTTCTTGTTCTTCTTGTTCTTTTTCTTCTTCTTCTTCTTTTTTTTTTTTTTTTTTTTTGAGATGGGTCTCACTCACTCTGTGTGCTCTGGCTGGTCTCAAACTCATGAGGTTGGGTGGTCCTCCTGCCTTAGCTTCCTGAATACAGTCTTAACAGGCACTGTTACATCCAGCTTGCAGATTATGTATTCTGACTTTCTTGGAGGGCACTTACATTTTGGAGCAATTAATGGTACACTCTCAACTCAGAAAGGCCTGTTTTTAAGTCTTATTTTTGCCACGGAAGGCTGGAAATCTCTGGCAAGGTTTCTTCCCTTTCTAAGACTCAGTTGCTCATTTGCAAAATGAGGATGAAAACTCTACCTTGTAGGAATGTGGTGAGAACAAATGAAGTTATTTAGTGCTTAGCATTGCACCTGACATGAATGCTCAATCTCAACTAAAGTCCTTGTTTTCTATTATCAAGGTCCTTAGATCAGTGTCCACATACAGTAAGCATGAAAAAAAAAATTAGAGCACAAATTTTCAAAACAGATGGCCCCTTTTCACAAAGGAGCTAACTGGGAGTTAACAGTTAATAATTTCTATGTGGGTCACAATCCTAAATTTTGGTGACATTATTATGTAACCTGGCCTCATCCATCCAAAAGCAAGTCTACCTTCTTAAGTGTCTGATTCATGGTAAATTTTTTATTTCATGTAACTAGTGTTTTCTCCTTGTCTTCTGAGGTTGCGGTCTAATTGCCTTTACCATATACAGCTACTAACTAATCCCAATCTGTTCAGTCATCAGGCTCTTCTCAGTTTCACCCTCCACATCTCTTGTATTCCTTCCTTCCTTCAAGCTTTGAAGACTGGTTGGGACACTCCAATTAAAAATTCTTAAGAAGGAGCTGGGGTTATGGCTGAGTGGCAGAATGCCTGCCTCACATGTGTGAGACACTGGCTTCAATCCTCAGCACCACATAAAAGATAAATAAGTAAACAAACAAACAAATAAAATAAAATATGTTGTGTCCATCTACAACTAAAAAAATATTTTTAAAAATTTTTAAGAAATTTACATCAATGGGGACCTGAGAGCTAGGAAACTGAGGAGGTAAAGGTGCTTATTTTTCATTATATACCTGTTTATTCTTTTTAAATATTATACCGTATGTATATGCCACCTGTTCTAAAAAATAAAGTGAGTTTTTAAACTGAGCCATTAAAAAATAGTAAAAAATAAAGACTCCCCGCRTCACTTCTTCCTACCCTGAGTACAATTGCATGGTGTATTTGGTGCTGTGATTCATTCCAATTGCTGTCACTTTATAAGACCAAGACCATAATCTGATTTTATTTACTATTTTATCCAAGTAAATACAGCATTGCCTGCCATATAATAGAAGTTCAGCAAATGTTTGTCAAGGGAATAACTGAATGTCTTTAACCTCCTCTTCCGCTGATTTCAATCCAGATCAGTGTTTTTAAAATATACTCCGCATGTATAATGATTTTGGTTGGTACAAGCAGAGGACCCTGTAGGAAGCAAAGCTCCCAAGCCTTTTAGATGCTACTCCATCAAGTACAGATACCAGAATCCAAACATCCAAAAATTTATTATGTTTATTCTTTACAGTCATATTTATGGCATGTGAAAGCAGTTTTTCATGCATGGTATTGCTATCATAAATAAATTAAGCTTTGAAAAAAAGAATGATAAATGGGAAATGACTCATGGTATAGAATTATGAGGATATGGGAGAATTGGGAAGATGGTGGATGCATCACTGTAGTTTGATAAATAGCTAGTTTGTGTTCTCAGTATGTTTTAATAAATAATTATAGCTACCCATGTAAATAAGAAGATGGTTTTACCCTAACCTGGAGTGAGTTTTCTAAGGTAATTCAATGCTGAAGATTTCTTCTCCATTCACTCATCCACCCACAAAGTCAAAAGCATCCATGGCTTGCTTGCTGTCTATAACACACTGTGCTACATACTGATGAGACAAACAGAGCCCTGGGGATGGGAGGGTATGAGGATGTGTTCACAACACACACAAGCATGGTGGGGCAAGAACAGCATGCAATATGATAACAGCCATATAAATTAGAAAGCATGTTAGAGATGCATTGCGGGATCACAACTTTGAGGACTGGAGAGCTCTGCCTCAAAGATTTTCAGAAGTCACTAACAAGATGACTTTGAAGCTGCTTGTTTGGCAGGCTCAGAATGAGGGAAGGATATTCTGGCCAGAGTTTCTCAGCCAGAGAACTGTTGACATTTTTGGCTACATAAWTCTTTGTTGTGGGGACATGTCCTGTTGCATGTTCTGCAGAATTTCTGGCCTTAATATATTAGATGTCAGAAATACTCCCTGGTTGTGAGAACAAAAATGTCCCCTAGCAGAACACAATCACTGTGGTTGAGAACCACTGGTCTAGGCAGGAGAATTGCCAAGTGCAATAGCATGGGGTCATGACAGTGCATTTGAAGATAAATATAAAAAGCTTAAAGTGTGAGATGAATGAATGACAGAGGATAGCTTTGGTAACATGGGTGAGTCACAGAGAGGGAAGGATTGATAATAACCTGATGAGTTGAGACTTTATCATATCTCAAAAAGGAACAGAGAAAAAGTTTTGAAGCAGAATTCTCTATGTCCATTGTAATACTGTGAGGGTGAGAAGTCACTTTGTGAGGGAATCTAAATGTTAGCCATTGGGAACCACATGCCCAATGAATGATTTAGGCAAGAAGCTCTGAATGGTTTTGTTGCTTAAAAAATAAGTTATCAAATCTACCTTACTAAATATAAAACCATTTTACAGTTAGGCATTTTAAAATGGAGATTACATTATTTACCAACTTAAGAGATGTATTTTAGAACTAACAATATTCTCTTAAAACTTAAAAGATTTCAAGATGAGCTTGAAGCAATAGGGAATTTCAAGAATCGGTTACTGATCCCAATTATTTCAGCCTGTGCAAAATTGTATGTATTATGCCCATATAATTTTAAAGATATTCATGAAATAGACAGGAAAGAGCTCAATCTCCATATCTTATCTATGGGGAGGGGTTTTTATCTTCTAAAAAAATAAACTACATTTTTTTCTTTTTAATTGTTTTTTGAAAATGTTCATCTGTTTCTACAAACTAACAGCTATCAAAAATTGGCATTTCAAAAGTCACAACAAATTTTTGTTTTCATAACTTTCAGTGGGGACACTGAACTGAATGCCCTGCAAAAAAATTTCTCTTTGTAACCATGAGAGCATTGAACTAAAGCAACACTCAGGACTGAGAAAGGAAACCATTGAGAGACACTGTACCCTACTTATGCATCCTCRTGAAGTGTTGTGGGTTCAGAAAAATTTAAATGGTTCAACCAGCACTATTCGTTTGTGGGTTTTTTAATTAATTCAGTAAAATGTGGTACTTTGTCTTTTAAAAGAAAAAAAACAACTAAAATAATAACTGGTAGAGGCTGGCATTTGGGTAGGCAGAGACTTAAAATCTAATGTGTGGCTGTCCCTCCTACTCCTTTCTTTTCCTTGCCCTTCCCTGGAACAACTAAATCAAAAGCTACAATTTGTGTCTGTTCCGTCCAAGCTCCAGAAATCCCTTAAGAATGGCCATTCATAACGGGAGCTATATTTAGAATCAGGGGAAACCGCACTTTGCAGGGACCGTTGTTTTCTTTTGTTTTTGGTTTTGTTTCGTATGAAGAAGTGAGTCTGGTTTGGAATGTTTTTAACATTTATGAAAATGATCCATATATTTTTATCTGTGCCAACTTCTACAGAGATTCCAAATTATTTTAGATACTGTTTTTTTGGCTAGGTTTTCCTAATATAAAACTTTGTCAGCCAGTACTTGTAGGCTTCTCAGACAATCACAAGACTTGCTTTAGATACATTACAGCTTGATTTGGCTCCTTTCTAAAATAGTCTGGAATTTGAAAGAACYGAATGCCTGTCAGATAATAGTCATCTTCATGGAAATGTATCCATGTCTATACCCATTATAACTGTGTGCTCAAAACAGTGGACACAAGGAGTATCATGTCCAAATACCCATCCATTGAATATACAATTATTAAATTCCTACTATGTTCCAGGGCTAACTTTGTAATTATAAGCCTTTTAACTAGTCTTATGTATATGTCTTTGTGTGTGCTTTGTGTGTGTGTGTGTGTGTGTGTGTGTGTGTGTGTGTGTGGTACTGGGGAATCCAACCAAGCTCTATCCTTAGCCTTTTTTATTTTGAGACCCGATCTTACTCAATTGTCCTGGCTGACCTTGAACTTGTGATCCTCCTGCCTCAACCTCCCTAGACAATGGAATTACAATCATGCACCACCACTGTGCCCAGTTTGAATTAGCTTTTGATTGTAAGAATATATCTCCCCTGGGGCTGGGGTTGTAGCTCAGTGGTAGCATGTGTGAGGCACTGGGTTCGGTCTCAGCACCACATATAAATGCATAAATAAATTAATTAAATAAAGGTCTGCTGACAACTAGAAAAAAAGAATATATWTTTCCTATGTAGTTTTGAATAGTATGCATTAGTGAGGATTAGAGGGAAATATCCTAWCAACCCTCTTATAACAGAAGTTGCATATATAAAAATATGTAAAAGGAAAGCCTGCATATATTGTAAATTATGTATGCTTTCTTCCCCCTCTCTTGAGCTTCTGCAGTATCCTAAACTGGGTAGAAATTTAACACATGAGAAAGTAAATACAAACCAAAAGACTGGAATGCTTGATCACAGACTAGTGAAGAAAAGGGAAAGGTTGAACCAGATGGAGGTTTTAGCTTAGCTGTGAATTTCACACATCTGCAGCACATTCTTCACTGTGAGGAGATGTGCATATACACAGTTAAATCTCTTTAGACAAAGACCAGACCTGTGCTTTGTAAGTTAAAGTAAACTGCACTTGGGAAATTTCAAGCAATGCTCATCAGAATGAATGATGTTGTGCTTTCCGTATGTAATAAAGAGCCATTCACAGAACAACTGTTATGTCTTCTTGAGGAAYTAGTTTCATTTAGGTTGTTATCTTTATGTCTTTTTAGAAAGTGCAACAGTATACATTAATAATTCAAGCTACAGTTATGGAAGGCAATCCCACATACGGTCTTTCAAACACAGCCATGGCCGTCATCACAGTGACAGATGTCAATGAMAATCCTCCAGAGTTTACTGCCATGACAGTAAGTATGGCCTGTCACTCAAGGAACTTCAGGTCTGTGGTCCATTATGGAGAAGTTTTGTCATGAATAATAAATGTGTTAAATAGAAGTGGAACTTGCTTAACCTGAGAGTAGAATGGCCACTGGCTCAGGGGCTCCTATCACCAGGGCTTTAACTCAGGCATCTCAGTAGTTTTCTTCCTCATCTTCAAGATCATTGTTAAAAATGTTAAAATATGCTGCCTRGAACAAACATTCTTAAAAGACTGGGTGCTGTTATAACAAAATACTTACAATCATTTTCAGGTGTGTGAACTACATGACTGATTGATGCTCCTTCTTGAGCATGTAATTATCTATATCAAAGTAAAATTATTTCCATAGRCAAATCCTTTCCCCTAACCCCACATTAATCACCCAGATACTCATAAGTGGTTGCTAATTTTAATAGTAATGGAACTGCAACATAATTTGCAAAATAAAAATGGGGACTAAAAATGTGTTATAGTATTTTTAAAGTCAAGCCTAAATTCTATGATTCCCTGCATCACCAATCTCCCCATTTAGTGTAGATAATTAAGATTTAATGGAGCAGTTAAATCTGGGTGGTGTGTTTGTCAAGACAACTTGTCTTCCAGTGGTCCACGTCACTCCTCTGACTGACATCTGTCTTTCTTGTAGTTCTATGGTGAAGTACCTGAAAACAGGGTGGATGTMATTGTAGCTAATTTAACTGTGACTGATAAGGATCAGCCCCATACGCCAGCCTGGAATGCAGTGTACAGAATCAGTGGTGGAGATCCTACCGGAAGTTTTGCCATTCAGACCGACCCTAACAGCAACGACGGGTTAGTCACCGTGGTAAAAGTAAGTGTTCTTCAGGGGCCTTGATCTCTGACAGCCTCTTAGCTGTTAGCACTAGATTTCCCCCACTGTATCATTTTGCTATTAAATCGTAGGATCTTTTTTCCCCCCCAAACATCTCTAAATCTAGAATTCATATTTATTTGGTAGGTTAGGTGTTATGGTTTAATTTATGCTGAGGTTGAGGTCAGCAAAGGTATTCCCCATTGTCATTGGACTTAGATTTTTTTTTTWAAATCATTAAAATCAGTTTGGACAGACTTACCAATCTGAAGATGAGACTGACCTCAACAACACTGATTATCAGTGTAATCGATGTATTAGTGATATTTTACATCTGTAAGTTCTGATCCTCAGTTGATACCTGTGAAAAATGATGCACCACACCTAGGTTCCTCGTGGTTACAGCTGTTGAAAATATTGGGAGGTAGGCAGTGAACCAGAAAATATCACAGAAGTAACATGGAATGAGCAGGCAAGAAAAGAACCTATGTTTTAGAAAGATCTTGTGTTTACATTGCTATTTTAAATAATTTTTTTCAAAACTTTAAGAAACTGATTCTTCTATTTTTAATTGACAAAAGAGAGAAAAAGAGAGGACTCCAAACAAAACAATTTGGTGCCAAATGCAGAGGGAATGTTCTTCAGGTATAATAATGCATAGCTGTAATGTATAAGTTGGTTCCGCTGATCATCCCTACCCAGTGAAGAAATATATTACTCTGCCTCTCACCTAAACACTCTTAGTTTGTAAGTACACCCAGGTGTTGGCTTCACAGGGAAATGTGCATCACAGTGCCAGTTGCCAACAACTATGTACTACATGTGCATGAGTCGACTGAGATGTGGTTTTGAAACTTCGTGATCAAGAGCACCACTCCCAGAACCCAGTTGTCTGTGTTCAAATTCCAGCTCTGCTCTTGACACTTGTGTGACCATGGCTGGTTATTTAACCTCTGTTAACCTCAAATTCCTCATGCAGAAAGCGGGGCTTTGATGACAGCACCTAAGTCATGGCACTTTTGTGAGGGATGAATGAGTTTTGTATGCTTTGAAGAACTCAGAACTGTGCCGATGCCAGGAAGCACAAATAAATGTCACGACAGGACAGTGGAGTGGTTCATGTGATCCCTCTAGATACTGCAGTCTTCTTTTCTGGCTTCCTCTCTGTCTTGTTGGAAACACTTGAGGAAAGGAAAGTTGAGCTGGGGACTTGGGAGTGAGAGAAGAAAACTGTGTTTCAAGACGTGAGGAAGTGATCTAGGTTAAGAAACTGGTACAGTTGATGCTAATGATGTAGCTTTTGYGTGACCTGCAGCTCTTGATCATTCTTGGGCTACCAGCAAGGTTCAATACTCTCTGTGCCCTTTCTTTCCATGTTATTATTACATCATTCTTCCTATTTGCACCTTCACTAAAAGGTGATCAAGGGAGATTAAGGGAAAGTTCCATTTGGTCACTTGATTCCCATAACATTCTTGTGACGGCAGGATTCAATGGGACTTTGTTTTTTGTATTTTTTTTTTGTTTTTACTTATTAGTTATATATGACTGTAGAATGTATTTTGACATATTATACATATAAAGAGTATAACTCCCCATTCTTCTGATTGTACCTGATATGGAATTCAATGGGACTTTGGAAGGAAATATTTACAAGAAGGGTTATTTGTGCATTGCATTAATCTTGAGTGTTGTCCTTAGATTTGTGATTTTTACAGACCAGTAAAACACTCAAAATTATTTTAGTTTGCTAAATAAGGGGGAAAAAAGCCTTCCACCAAAAAAGTGTGTGTATGTACACATTTGTATTTCAAATTATACTTCAAATTATGGAATATACTTAAACTATTCATAAATTCCAGTGTTATGAAAAAAGACCAGATTTTCTGGGGTTTTTGTTTGTTTGTTTTTCAATGTACCATAGGCTGGGGAAAGCTTCCTTGGATGAGGACTGATCTTATACCAATGTCTGAGAGTGGAGACCCTATGCTCTTATCTTACTTCATATTAGTTGGTATTTTTGATCCACAATGCTATTTTTAAAAATAATCACTGTTTAGATATACCTAAATAAATAAATCCATGCAGCAGTAATGCACATTATTTGGTGAACRTAAATCTTTGAAGTACCCAAGATTTATAAGTAGCTTAAAGTTGCATAAGTATTTCATTCATTGACCAGGCTAAGACATATTTTCCAGAAAGTTGAGAGGAACTTCACTGTGCAGTGAATTAAAAAAAAAAATTAAAGTTTGAGAAATGGAATTCATAGAATGAAGCACAGAATGTAAATATTCTTAGTTCTGAAAAGTATGATTTTCTTTTTATCTTTTCTTTCTCCAGCCAATCGACTTTGAAACAAATAGGATGTTTGTCCTTACTGTTGCTGCAGAAAATCAAGTGCCATTAGCCAAAGGAATCCAGCACCCACCTCAGTCCACCGCAACTGTGTCTGTCACAGTTATCGATGTAAATGAAAACCCTTATTTTGCCCCCAATCCCAAGATTATTCGCCAAGAAGAAGGTCTTCACGCAGGTACCATGTTGACAACATTCACTGCTCAGGACCCAGATCGATATATGCAGCAGAATATTAGGTATGAAGTGCTGCTTATGGTATTTTTATAATTTACATTCTATTCTGTGTCGTGCATAAAATTTAATTTACCATTTGTGTATCAATTGAAGAAAAAGAAAATTTCCTTTGTTTATTTTTACCCTTTTCCTTTTTTAAGAGAAGGTAATTATTTAGCCTGTGCTTTTAAATTGAACACCTCAAAAAGTTGTACAGTCAGTAAATAGAGAACTTTCAGAAGCTTATGACATTTATCTCTCCTTCAGGTTGGGAAGAAAATAAAACTTATGCGCAAACTAAAATCTAGGAGCTAATTATTTTTATTCCTTACCTGTGCAGTGAACTTATAAAATGTATCTGTGAAGATTTCCAACCTCAGCAAAATCTAATTTGTCCTTCCTGRTAAATGAATAGATGACGGGCAAAGCACACCCCATGAAACTGTTATCTGTAGCTCATGATGGTAATTCTTAAAATTAGCTGGCAATTTATTATTTAACTTTCTTCCAAACTGAAGTTAACAGATAACTGCATTTATCCTCTGTTTCTTCATACATTGACACCAAGATACTTAAATGGTTAATTAATAGTTGTATTGAAATTCTACAATTTTTACTTCTCAAAATATAGCACATTCTTTCAAACTGTACATTGGTTATCTGACCATGAAATATTCACCTCCTACCTCCAGTAAAAATAGAATTTAAGCCGATCACTCTGCTCATACAAACTGGAGCTTGTGGGACTTGTTTGAAAGGATATTGCTCAGAAGCTTGGCCCAGTGTGGGAGATCCTARTAGGAATGGAATTATAAGAGATCTCTTCAGTGAGATTCATCTCTGCCATGATAAGGTGGTGAAACCAATTAGGAGTGATCTGTGATATCAAATTCAATTTATTTCATAAATTTCTCTTAAGTCCTATATATTAGATCTACTGCTTATTTGGAAAGTATATTTGAGCCGTTTATCTGCACATTTGATATCTGTTGAAATAGACAAGAACCTCCATTGAAATCTGTCCAAACTACCTTAATGCACACTAGGGAGACTATGCTCTTTGTCTTGTACCTCAAATATCTATGGAATGTTTCCTGCATGACTGACCAAACACAACCTTTATGTACCKCCCAAAATCACTGCCACAGAAATATTTTCCATGTTAAAGCTCTATTTCTAACCATCATCTACAAAAATGCAAGTTAATGAGCTGGTTGTATTTTTGCAATTAAACCTGTAAAATGTGTTATCTTTTAAGCTTCACATCAAAAAAAAAATTAAACTTACTGCACTTTCATTTTGTAGATACAYAAAATTATCTGATCCTGCCAATTGGCTAAAAATAGATCCTGTGAATGGCCAAATCACTACAATTGCTGTTTTGGACAGAGAATCGCCAAATGTGAAAAACAATATATATAATGCTACTTTTCTTGCTTCTGACATTGGTGTGTAATTAAATATATTTGTGGTATTATCCTGTACATTGGTTAAAGAGAGTAGAGCCTCATAATACATGCACACAAACCAAGATTTTCTATAATACCATATTGACTAGAAAATGGACCTTTATTTTCTTAGGCCCCAATTAAAAAAAAAAAAATTTCATTTCCTTGTGGACCTTCTTGTGTCTAATGAATGTTCTCTGGCTGCACACCTTCCATGGTAGCCTGGCATACTGATTATGAAATTTCCTTGTTCTGTCCTGCTACACTTTGATGCCTGATTTACTATAGCTCCAGTCAACCATCAGTGTCCCCAGACTCTGTGTTTTTGTGGTTGTTTTTGTTGTTGTTTTAGGTACTGGGGATAGAACTCAGGGGCACTCTACCACTGAGCCACATCCCCAGCCCTATTTATATTTTATTTAGAGACAATTTCTCACTGAATTGCTTAGCACCTCACGTTTTTGCTGAGACTGGCTTTCTACTTGCTATCCTCCTGCTTCAGCCTCCCAAGCCACTGGGATTACAGGAGTGCACCACCACACCCGACAGTTTCTGTGTTTTTTGAGTTGGTCTTTTTATATTTCTTGTAGTCAATCTGTTTACTGCCATCAGTATGTGTGTCTGTAGCAATTGTCCTATTTCTGATTCTCCGCCATTGTGTGCCATGCATCAGGAAGCTCTTAATTTAGGGTATAAATTGAGAGAAGTGAGAGTSTGAGCATTAGGGTGTTGGATTTTAGAATTGACACCTTTCGTATTTTCTTTTGCGGATCTCTGCTGGGTTTCAGTTGGTTGAGATATATAGGTAATCCACCTGTTTTAGATATCTAATATAAAAGGAACRTATGAAACTTGATGATGAACTTTCTGGTTTTGTTAGCATTCAGTTTAACATGTGCTTGAGAATGGAAGCTCTGGAGTTCTGCCTGATCCCCAGGGCCTATCTCCACCTCTCCGACTGTCTTAGCATATGATTGGTGATGGGGTTTAATCTCTTTCCTTTTTTTTCCTGATGTTTTTGTTGGTAAATACACATAATGGTATTCACTCTGTAATGTTTTGAGGGAAATAGAATGACTTCTACATAGAAAATTGTACCTGGCACAAACTAACCACTTCAATAAACATTTCTTCTATTTTTGAGTGGTTTCAAAACTGAATCACAACCATGTTTTAAAATATTTTAGTGTTATTCTGTAATGGGAATGTTTAATAAAAATAACCTTTAAATTGGCCGGCAGGATGTCCCGTTGGAAAAACATTGCCTGTCAACACTTTTGATAAGACCTATCTCAATGAACGTTTCCAAATCYTGTATAATAAGATTCAATGAGATTGCGATCTGAAGGAAATCCATGTGGCRACAGAGCCAAAACACTATTTCTTATCCTTTCTAATGAGAAATGACTGTTCAAATGTTGAGAGTTGGACCTCTGTAGAAACAGCCTTGGCCAGTGTACCTCAGAGCATTGCTTTGGAGGTCTTTTTCCTTTGGAGCATTACATTTATACATTTGAGTTCATGTTGACAAAATCATACCCATGGAATTTATTCCATTTTTGTTCCCATCCTCTCCAACTTCCCTCTTTCCTTTCTTTCCCCCTATTCTCCTTCTTCCTTTCACTTGTTTATTTATTTACTTTTGGTAGGTGCTTTCTACATAAACGTGGAATTCTTCTGGTATATTTATATTTATGCACATGGTGTGATTTTTGTTAAATCATTCCACATYTCTTCCCTTTTCCCATTCCTCCTCCTTCTATCTCGATCTCCTTCTTCTAYTCCACTGACCTTCCCTATATCTTTATGATATAATCTGGTCCCCTACCACCGTTCCCCCTTATTTTGCTCTAGCTCCTACATATAAAACATTTGACTCTTGATTTTTCTGAGCACTAGTGTGTTTTATGCTTCCTTGTTGCATGGAAATAGTAGCTGTCATCTACATTACAACTTAAAGTAATGTATCTTGAACCATAATGTCGTGATATAAAGATTTACATATAAAGTGACATGTATGTTGGTTGTAAGTGCCTGCCAGGTTTTTCATTCACCCAGGTGAYTTTTTGTTCTAATTGGAAGGTTATTTGRTATGAGAGAGAAGTGAGCTTTCAGTCTACATAGCCGGGACACTTTGCATGTGCATTTCAATTTAAATCACAAAGTTGGATATAGAGCCTCAGTTCTGCTCCATAATGATTGGGCGAGTTCTTATATTCTCTCTGTGCCGTGGTTTCATTATTATTAAATTGTTTGACTGTTGCTTATTCTATAAAGTTGTTGTAAGAGTTAAGTAATCTTACATGTGATAATGAATGTAAAAGTTCTTCAAACTGTCAAATATCATAGTGGTGGTAACAGTATTGGGAAATTGGAACAGACACCCTGCCTTCCACCCTAAGTTCTCTGTGTTCTCAGAACTGTGATATTCTTCACAGAGGGTGGTAGAGATTTTTACTTATTCCCAGCTCAGAATGACATGTGCATGTGTACCTTCCTCATTGCATTACCCTGAGCAGGTCATCTAAATCTCTGGGCTTCAATATGTACTACTCTTAATAAACTATTTTATATACATATTATTTATTATTTATGCATGAATATTTATAATATGAGCAGAAAACCTAATTATCATATGAGATGGTAAAGACATTTTATAGTGGAATGAGAATGGATGTGGGGCCAGGCAGAGCCACCATTGGTAATAACCCACTTATATATAATAGTATGTAGCCATGAGCAATTTATAGAGACCAAGGTTCCTCATCTGTTCAAACCTGCTTTGTTGGATTACAGCAAAATAATACAAAGAAAGCCATCCGATCTTTCTGAGTAGTTGACTGATCAATAACTATCACTTCTCTCTCCTAAGATGTTCCTTCCCCAAATGAGACCTGTGGCTCTGTATTATTTGTCTGTAGAGTATTATATTAGGTCAGAGCCATTTTTGAGCTTTCAAAGCACTCTTGTGTTCTTTCATGCACACATGTCTTAGTTCTCCATCCAAAGGCTAGGGTCCACAAACTCTTGAGCCTTTGTCCTGCTTACCTGACATTCCACACAGTGCCTGGAGGAATGTGATGTGCACAGACCCTGAGTAAAGGACAACAGGGCCAGGAAAAGTGTGGGACCCCATAGAGCCCTGTCGTCACCATGCTCACTCCCTACACAGTAGCATGGCAGTTCAAGGTCATGCCAAGAGGGAAGAAAGAAGTGGAGTTGTTCTGAAACAGTCCATTCAGATACTGTGACAACTAGATTTTTCCAGGGTAACACAGTGATTAGGGCAAGAAGGCTGGACGTTTGAGAATTTCACTGTAATTGAGACTTATTGGAGAGAACTGTTCAGCATCCATTGTAATTTTTCCTCCCTTTTTAGGAATTCCTCCTATGAGTGGAACAGGAACGCTGCAAATCTATTTACTTGATATTAWTGACAATGCTCCTCAAGTGTTACCTCAAGAGGCAGAGACTTGTGAAACTCCAGACCCCAATTCAATTAACATCACAGCACTTGATTATGACATCGATCCCAATGCTGGACCACTTGCTTTTGATCTTCCTTTATCTCCTGTGACTATTAAGAGAAATTGGACCATCACTCAACTTAATGATAAGAACAGGTTAATTATTTGAATATATGTGCAGTTGAGAGGTTTTGAAACCTGGTATGAAAAGTTAATTTTTACGTGCTTCATAATCTTCTCATTAAATATATTCTAAAAGCTACTTAAAGTTTAAGTAAAATATTAAGAGCTCTTGAAGCCAAAAAAAAAAAAATGTTTTCATAATGCAGCAGCATTGTGATTCTCTTTATGTATACATTCAGGTAGGAGACACATTCTGGAAAAGACTGCGTTTTTGTTGCATTAGGTATTGATTATCAAACTGTATTTTTCCTCTTTTTGTACAGGTGATTTTGCTCAGCTCAATTTAAAGATCAAATTTCTTGAAGCTGGGATCTATGAAGTTCCCATCATAATCACAGATTCTGGTAATCCTCCCAAGTCCAATATTTCCATTCTCCGAGTGAAGGTTTGCCAGTGTGACTCAAATGGAGACTGCACAGATGTGGACCGGATCGTGGGTGCAGGGCTTGGCACGGGGGCCATCATCGCCATCCTGCTGTGTATCATCATTCTCCTCAGTGAGTACTAGTGTCATCTCTTGGGTGTTAATTCCTTTGGCTTCTGGGATGTTCAGCAAAGGAACTTACTGCTTTTACCCTACAAAGTAACCTAAGTGGTCAGAAACTGAACCCAGTGCTCAGTCCTGCCTTGACTTCGGAGTAAGCTCTCCTTGACCTCTGAGCATTGTCTTGGGAATAAGCTTTCCTTGACTTCTGAGCATTGCCTCTTCARTCATAAACAGGACTGCCAAGTTCACCTGAGAATGGAAAGCCTTGGAGCATTCTTCCAAGCACTTACAGGTTTATAACAAGCCTCCCCAGAATACTTCTTCCATGCCCTCTTGCCATTTTCTGATGCTGATTGCTTGGGGAGCTGTAAAACTCTTTTCATAGAAAAATGTTAAACAGTCCTAAGTTTGAGCACTTATCTTATGATTTGAGTATGAATTTATGGCATGTGGTTGATGATTTAGGAAAATAAGTATATTGCTTTCCTTCACTTTCCTTCATACAAAGCACAGTCAGCAGCCTGCTCCAGTCATGCGAGGATCAAGGTATTTGTTTCTGAAGGGCTGCACCAAATAGTGAGAGATTGTACTTCACACACAGCACATTTGATAATAGAAATGATTACACAGCTCAATAAATTGTCTGTCTTTAGAGGAAGTATAGATTAAGGAATTGCTCCTTTTTAAGATACTTGGCAATCTTTGGTTCAGTGGAATGCAAGAAATTAACCACTGGAAAGTACTTTAGGAACCACTTCTAAGCATGCAGGTTAAAAGAAGAAATTGCCTGGGCCTTGTGTTTTATTGTGGAATAGCAGCAGGACTTAGTTTATTGTGCGATCATGCTTATGCACCAATCACTTTCTTGAAAATGTTGGCCATTTCTTTTATGTTTCCTCCATTTACAAGTGTTCTGGTAATTTAGAATTCTGTCCCTTTATTCTAAGCAATTACTATAGAAGCCTGAGCATTTTTTACTTCCTGTGTGGAGACTACTTTGGCTATAATTTGAAACCTGCATGCTATACTAATAATCCACTTGCTAGATTTAGCCCTGGAACAATGGCAAATGAGATCATGTATCTGGCTTTAAAAGGAGGATATTTACTTTTATGGCCAATAATAAAAATGTGCTCAAATAGGAGTCATTAAATCTTTTGTTTCAGGATGTAAACCGATACCCTCAGATTTTAGACAGAGCTCATTCCTAGATGTGCACTTAGGGACGAGTTTCACTTTCCACTGAAACGTGGCGTAGATGCCAGCCTTATCAAGAGAGACTTAGGTATGATGGATTGAGGCATGGAGAAGTGACTATGGCATTTTGAAGGAAAATGAATTGGTGCTGATTTTAACATCAACTCTGGAAAATTTATGGTTCCAGTCCTGGCACATAAGTGTGAAGCATGAAAGCCTAATATTATTTTAGTGCTCAAACTAATCCCCTCGCCTTCTTAGCTGAAACATGCATTTTGATAGAACAGAAAATGCAGAATAGTGTGGCAGGAAAACACAGCCCTTGGGAGTCAAGGAAAATCTCAAGATGCTATTCCTGATCTAGCTTCAATTTTTTACCCAAGTCATCTAAACAAGCACTTGTCACCTTGTCACACCAGAGAAGTACCTTTTTTTTTTTTTTTTTTTTTATACCAGGGATTGAACTCAGAGGCACTCAACCACTGAACCACACCCCATCCCTATTTTGTATTTTATTTAGAGACAGGGTCTTACTGAGTTGCTAAGTGCCTTGCTGTTGCTGAGGCTGGCTTTGAACTTGCAATCCTCACATCTCAGACTCCTGAGCCACTAGGATTACAGGTGTCCACCACCATGACCTGCAGAAGTGCCATTTTCTGTGAATTTAGAATTATAATGATGAGAGACTAATCTGCATTAAGCAGTGTCATAATTTATCTTACTGCTATTTTGTGTCTTCAGAATTTATGGAGTATTATATTAAAAGTATCTGAAGTATTGAGGCCAAAATGAAGACCAAAAATGATACTGTCCCCATGCATGGATAATGAAACTGAGGAAAGAGATGTTTACCCAGAGGGTTTGCAGGACACCAGATCATAGAGCCCAAGTGCACAAACTGAACCCAATGCTCAGTCCTGCCTTGACTTGTTTCTTTAAGTCTAYGAGGCCAGAAATAAGTAATAGGGTAGGAAATGGATTACAAGCCTTTGACCCTTTTATATATATATAAATTATTAGTGTTGCAGACATGATTAGATAGCTCTGACTTCCAAATGATGCAATTACTGTGTTCCTATGTAGTCCTCGTTCTGATGTTTGTGGTATGGATGAAACGCCGGGATAAAGAACGCCAGGCCAAACAACTTTTAATTGATCCAGAGGATGACGTAAGAGATAATATTTTAAAATATGATGAAGAAGGTGGAGGAGAAGAAGACCAGGTGAGCAATATTTTGAATATTTTGTTTGTTTGTTTGTTTGTTATATCCATTCTACACTTGCTGTTAACTGAAGATGGAAGATATAGGAAAGGTGAGTTCAACTCTTTTCTTTTTTAATATTTAATTTTTAGTTGTAGTTGGACAAATACCTTTATTTTACTTACTTATTTTTATGTGGTGCTGAGGATTGAACACAGGGCCTCACACGTACTGTTGGGCAAGCACTCTACTGCTGAGCCACAACTCCAGCCCCAATATTTTGAATCTTTAAAAGGAAATTTTATGACCAGATGGATTAAATGGTGGGGAAAGGGTTAATACATGGGGAAAGAAAAATGGCATCAGGTTTCTTTTCTGTTGTCAYAGAATCAGTCAGTTGATGAATTCTTTTCTGTGTGCCACACATTTATTGAATTTTTTGAAAGCCCCAAATGTCATTGTATTTATTCTGTAAGAAAATCACTAGTGGTGATTCCAGGAACCTGGAATTTGAACCCAATTCCTGTAATAGATGTATGAATGAAAATATTTTTCTTCACAGTTTTTATTTAGTCATTTGAAATATAACTGAAAGTAGTTTTTACCTTGAGATCTAGATATTTGTGTGTAGGGTAGAAAAAGCACTAAACCTATTCATTCCAAACCATTTACTAAGCAAAGTTAGTATTCCAGGCATGATTTTAATCTCAGATGATACAGAGGTGGGAAGAACCAACAAATATTTGCCTTCAAGGGTCTTACACACGCAGAGAAATATTTGAAGTTAAGGACAACATAGGCCATCTTTGTGTCCATAGTGTCTATCACGGTGTCTAGCTCATAGTAGTTGTTTCAATAGCAGTCAAAATTTCCTTCTTGCTATCAAATCACAAAAGCTTCAGAATCACCGTGTACCTGTGGAACTGCAATCCATTTGAAGGATGAAAATTACCAATTCATGGAAAACAAACATCTTTGTGTGTTCAGAAACAACATTTTAGACATTTTAATAGCTAACCATTATAAGTTCTATACTACATACCAGACATTCTGCTGAGTACACTAAATGTCATTCTTTTAAATCTTTAAAACCTGTATTGTTACTATGAATATTTTTAGTGATAGAAAACTAAACCTAAGTTCGATTCTAAAAAACAGGAAGTAACACATGGAGGATTTTAGTTTAGGTTTCTCTGATGTCACTGACTAAACTATATACTATATATTATAACTTGACTGCTCTGATATACTTGCTCTTGAAATTATCTGAAGATATTAATGTAAGCCAAGAGAAATCATTAGGACTGGTGTGCCCTAGGTACATTTGATAGCTTGGTCATTTCTACTTACTAAAACAAAAGCCAGCAATAGCAGTCTGAAAAGAACTCAGAATTCTTGGGTTTTGCATTATTATCAGTAAATCAGAATGTACTTTGTCTTAAATCTATGGGTAGACATCATCAGTAGGGCTGTAGACTTGAATAAAAGCAAATGTTCACAAACTTATTGTTTCTTTTGCTTTTTCACTCCTTTGAGGAAATGATACATCACTTTGTGTTTTTTTAGAGCATGCTCATACCCTCCCTTATGTTTAATCCTTGTTTTAACCCTTTTATATTTGCACAAGATTGTGTGATTGGTTCCCAGTTTGTAACTTTTATGGCCAGGACTGAAACTCACATTTTCTCGTTTGCTTAGTTTACAATACCTCCACTCTCTCATTTAGAAGAGATGCCGGTTCAAAATATGTTGAAAACTTGACTCAAGCGTATAAAGCTGTTTTGAATGCTGACCAATTAAAATGGCTCTATAAATATACCCCAGGGTTTCTTCCTTATAAATGACTTTGAATTTTAAAATTCATGTTTGGCTTAATTCTTAATCTATCCTTTTTGCTTTCCTGGGCTGTATTCAAGATCRACAAATGTATATTGATCACATTCTCTCAGAAACTCTCTATTTTCATTATTTTATTTTTTCATGTCAAGGCATAAACCTAAAACCAACTCAATGAAGCTTCAGTAAAAATAGTAATTACTGCAAGGCCCCCAGTAATAACTAGATTCTGAAAAAAAAATAAAAAAACTGGTCCAGAGGCAGGACCAAAATAGTTCTCAGCATCTTAAGAGTGTGGACCAGGTTACCTGAGTCACCTGATCTGAATCTTTTTCTCCCTTCCACGTCAATTCTTTCAACAAATAGTTTAATAAGGGTTTCTTGTAATTATTTCAGGAAAGATGTATTTATTTTATTGACTTCACCCACTCAGAATGATGCCTGAGATCAGATGGTACAACTGAACCTGTGAGGGAAGGGGATACAGAATAATTCAGAAAAATAAAAGGCACAGGCCTCTAGGAGTCAGACTACTGGCTCAAGATCTAACTACCGATCCAGTTCCAATTTCCTTCCCAAGTCATCTGGGCAAGCACTTGTCCCTTGGAAAAGTGCCGTTCTCTGCATTTGGGAGTATAATGATGCCTGACCAACCTGAATAAAACCTCAACGAAACATTAACTTACTGCTGTTTTGTGTCTTCGGAATTTATGAAGCAGAATATGAAGATTTCTTAAAATTAACATCATAAATCTTCAACCTCTCCCTTTCCTGATCTTTCAAGTTTCGCAGGCTCCCACATAAACTCCTGGGCATGAATGTGTTGCTTCCTATCCACTCACCAAGCAGCTTGAAGGTTGTTGTGGAACTTTCTCGGCATTGTATTCCATGGCTAATTTATGTAGTACTGGTCTTCCTCGGGTGTCTTTGCAGCTTCTTGGTTCATTGATGGTATCTTAGTTTAGCTCGAGGGCCTCCACTTGTCTTTGGTCCTCTGTTTTGATTTCCCTATGTAAGTCCTCACTGTAGACAATTGTAATAAAACAGTAGAATGCATTTGTTATTGATCTAATTTTTACCTCAGAATAACAGAATGAAACTTGTAGTTTAGGAATGTTCACCCTGGGTTCTGCCTCCCGGACTTCTAAGGTGGTTTCCAATGTTGCTGCCCTCACTTAGGGTGGGTCATCCCTGTCCTACCTCATCTTCCTGTCTCTGGCTGAACACCCTCATCCACTCTGTGGCATTTATCAGATCCAGACTTCTTCCTGAACATGTCGCTTTTGGGGCCCTGCACCCAATCTTTGGTGAATGCCCTTGTGCACTATATAGAGGTCCCTGGGAAGGAGTTAATGGAGGGCACAAGTTCCCTTAGGACACAGATGCATCAAGCCTGTCCACTCATGACCACTGAAGTGTTCTTCAGACTTTCAGTGATTCATCCTTAAACCTTTTAACAGCAGTTTCTTTTTTTTTCTTCCCTTCATTCCTTTCCAGGGATAAAAGCAGCTCTCAGTCCTCTCTCTCCTAGAAAGGGCTTGTCCAGTCCTATATTTTCGTTCAGAGAGGCCTCATTTTGTTCTGAGCTCTCTTAATGGTTTCACAAAACTGCGATTTGGTAACTTGTCTGACTTGTTCTTGGCACTAGAATGTGAATAAGAGCCTCATGACCTTCTAGATAGCCCAGCCAGAAGCAAAAGGCTTCCTGCAGGTCTGAATGTACCCACCACTCATATCAACCTTTGCAGGAGCCTACGGGGCTTCCTCTGTACCTCCAACCAGATCATAGGTCTGCTACCAAAAGCAACCAGTATTTTATCACTTCTATCGCTATAGATGAGCGCTCCCTATTTTTTTACTTTTATATAAATAGATAGCATTGGCACATTTGGGGCTGGCTTCCGTAACTCAACATCCTACCCACGAGATTCCTCTATATTGTCTGTAGAAGTAGTTCATTTTTTTTTTTTTTGCCATTGAGGAATAATATTCTGTTGTAAAAATTAAGCATTAGAATGATGATTACTTATCATTCTATTGCACCTGGACCTTTGAGTATATGCAGTTGGGTTATTATGAATAAAGCTCCTATGAACATTGCTGTGAATGTGTTTTTTGGTGCATTTCTCTTTTGTTCATGCGTGCAAAGTGAGCATGATCTGCCAGTTTCCCAGAGTAACTGTAAGTTTTGCATCTCTCCTTCCCACAGTGTATGGATTTTCTAATTGTCCCACATCTTCTTCCTTAGCACTTAGATTTTTTTTTTTTTTTTTTTTTTAGTCTTTTTAACTTAAGGCACTCTAATGCTATGGGTCTTACTGAGATTTAATTGGGATTGTCCTGGTATTTTGGTTGTCATATTTATTTATTCATTTGTTTTGGTGCTGGGGATTGAAACAGTGTACCACTGAATTACATCCTATATCCCCAGACTTTTTAATCTTTTTACATTAAGATGAGGTCTTGCTAAATTGCTGAGGCTTAGCCTCCAATCTGTGGTCCTCCTACCTCAGCCTCCTGATTTGCTGGGTTTAGAGGCATTCAGCACTGCACCAGGCCCCATGGCGATGCTATCTTTCATGAAGTTTCTGTTCAGCTTGTCTACTCTTCTATAGGAATGTCCTTATTGATTTATAGGAGGTCCTTATAGAAATGAAATCTTTGTCAGATAAATGCATTGCAAGGAACTTTTCATTCAGTAGCTCACTCTTTTGTCCTCTTTATGATGGTGTCTTATGATGAGCAGAAAGTTTTAATTTTGATGAAGTCAAGTCCACTGTATTATTTTTTCCCATCRTGCTTAGTGTTTTTATATCCTATTGAAGAAAACTGTTATCTATTTCAGTGTAATGAATATTCCCCCAAAATATCTTTATATTATCTTATTTAAAGCTCTGTAATTTTACCTATCGTAATTGTGATAGGTAGTTATAATTTTGCCTTTTGTAACTTCTATATACATTTGTAATTGATTTTCTATCTAGTATAAGATATGGATCAGGAATTTGGGGGTTTGTTATGAATATCCAGCTATATTTACTAAAAAAAAAGTGATCATGGTTCATTGTCACAAAGCAAATAATCATACCTGTGTGGGTCTGTGGGTCAGCTTCTTGCTCAGTTTGTCTAATTTTGGTCTAATACCATATTGTTTTAATCATTGTCAGTTTCTAAAGTCTTGATAC